TTCTTTCCCGTGTGGCCAAATCATGAAACCATGAAATTAATTTTGAAGGAACCAGGTTAATCTCAAAAACTGAACACTTCAACAAGAGAATAATTATGGAAGCTATCGAAATAGAGAAACACCCTCACAACAGGAATAAACGTGATGATACCTCCCACCTACCCGACATCTGAAAACCAGCCCTAGTCAACAAATGAGCCCCACCCACCACCTAGACCTTTACAACACGAAACAACGGACACACAGCCAGCTCCAATCAGCACCAATCTAACAATCATCATACAACCACACAACCAATCATTCCACTTACTGAAACAAAGCCAGCACTCCACACCCACCCACCAAGATTTATAGAAAGGATTGCAAATTTTTCCATAGTAATATCCTACCCATACAGTGCAGAATTCTTGCATATAGCTTGACATTTCTGTTAGGAATAAGTTATTTCTGCTCCCTTTTAATTATACATTGAGTTCCATTTCAACTAACTGGAACTTATAATTGCAGGATGTTGGAATTAGATATTGAGAGTGTAATTTTGCTGTTCACTTGCTTATCCCTTTGTTCTGTTTGATTTCCTAAATATATGTTTCTTTTTCTACCCATGCACCAATGACAAGTAAATCTCAATTTGTAAAGAAATTGCTGTATACATGATGCCAAGACCTACTGTATTATCTTCATCCCTCCATCCTCCATCATTCCAGTGCTACTCTATTCTCAACAACTCCTGGTGGCTCATAACAATCAAAGAAGAAAGTATTATAAAAACAATAAAGATATGAGATTAAAATATGGCAAGCATGTGAAACCAAATGGAATGAAGCAAGGGGTCTCCCTCACCAATTGCCAGGTTTTCATGGCTGTTCTAAACAACAGTGGAGACCATTTGGCTCTCAGGAGGAACCTCAGTACAAAGGGCTACTACAGAGAAGGCACACTTCTGGGATCCTGACAGATGATACTGTTTAATTAAAGGAATCCAGAATGCACAAATCTTGCAGGCTCAAATCTGCCAGGCAGATGCTATGCAAGACATCAAGTAGCCATGCCCCATGCCATGTAGGACTTAATATTTTGATTGGCTTCCTTTCTACAAACTATGGAAATATACATGCAGAAAATATTGCACTTCTTCATTTTGTTTTTCTAGTTTTAAGCCCCTCAAACGTGGGGAAAATTCAGGAAGAGAGAAATTTTCTTGATTTTCTTGATTTCCAGTTGAAGTCTCTAATTTTGCTGACTGTTTTATGGTCACAGTAATGGTAAAAGTCCATTATTTTTTGTGATGTATACATGTATGCATTTTAGTAGCAATCATTTTCTTCCTTGTTTGTGTTTATCAGGATTTGCATCAATCTATGGATACAGAGTTTCTGAAATTGATGAAATGCTAGATGCCAGAAAGATAACTGGCATATGTCAACAAATAGACGTATGTTTTGATGTATTAACTGTGGAAGAAAATTTGTCAATAGTTGCTGCAGTTAAGGGAATACCTCCCAATTATGTGATACAAGAGGTGAGTAGAATACAAAGTATTTATTTTTAATTGAAAAATTGTGTCATATATGCCTTCAATAAAAGATAATTTTACATGGACATATAATAATGTATTGACTGCATCTTTTACATTCAGATTCCATAGTATTCTACCTTATTTTGAGAACTCTTCTAAAACACAAAAACTTACAGAATTTAAGATAAAATAGAATGATATGAGATAGGTATAAGCATCAGTAATTGTTGGCTTTCCTGCTATCTGTCCTTCTGAACTTTCAAATACCAGTTTGACATATTTTTTTAAAAAATATGATTAACTGAATAATTAAAAAAACATTTTAATGGATGGATGGATGGATGGATGGATAGATGATAGATAGATTGATAGATAGATAGATAGATAGATAGATAGATAGATAGATAGATAGATAGATAGATAGATAGATACTGTATTGGTTTTGGAAACCTCACCTTAACTCTTCCAGAGGAGGGTTGTTTTTGAAATTGCAGGGAATAAATGGAGTTTGAGTTATTTTCATAATGTATTATATCATGTTCAGTTACAAAACTTAGATTCCTTGAGCTTTAACAACAATAGCATGATAAATGCCCTGATTAATTATAGAATTACTTGATTTAGTTATCTCTAAATATTTTTCATGCTTGATTCTGAAAGGTTCAAAAGATTTTATTGGATTTGGATATGCAGCCCATTAAAGATAACCAAGCAAAAAAACTAAGTGGTGGACAGAAAAGAAAGCTGTCAATCGGAATTGCAATTCTTGGTGATCCAAAGGTAAATAGCAAAGTAACCGAAATACTAGTAGTAATACTCATTATCAATTGCAAGCCACATACAAGCTGAACTATAATTGTGTTGTACAAATTAGGGGAGTTGGGAATAATAAAATAATACTTGCCCAAGCAGGTCTTCA